AAAAAAAGGCATCTGAGTCTGAAATCGGCTGCTGGGTTGGAATGACTGGAAAGAAGGGAGGCAGGGGAGGAGGGGAGAGGGAGGTATAAACAATGTGTCATTTCACTGGAACAAGGGCTTCTTTCCAAGTGACCTTGGTCATACCCTGGGAGTTAGATGGTAATTGATTTTGTCTACCCTACACATTAAGTGCTATAGCAACCTTTTTAGTTGCATCTCTTCTTAATTAAAGCAATGAATAGCTTTGGGATTCTCTGTGTGTCTTGTCCAAGCTCATTCATGCATTTCCTTTCTGTGAAGGGAAACCCCTGGGAAGTGCCTCTCCCCGCCCAGCGTGTGTTTGTCTGGTTTCTGTATGTGTTTTGTTTGTTTTTGCAGAAACAGTCCACACCGGTGACGTGGTCAGCTAAGTCCACTTGAGTAAATCCCACCTCATCAAACTTCTTGCTTTTTTTCCCCCTTAAGGGAATAGATTCTCCTGGCTGGCATGGGCAGTGGTTGAATGTCGATCTATGAACCAGAAGGTCATGGTTCAATTCCTGGTGAGGGCACATGCCTGGGTTTCGGGCTAAGATCCCCAGAGTCGGGCGTGCAGGAGGCAGCCGATCAATGATTCTCTCTCGTCATTGATGTCTATCTCTCTCTCCCTTCCTCTCTGAAATCAATAAAAATATATTTTTTAAAAAGAAAGAAAAATCTATGCCCCATGACATCTACAACTCCCCCCCGGGCTCCTGCCACCAGCATCTCCCTGGTGATTGTCCACGGCAGCAATTGGTCTTCCGTCTTCCACTCTGACGCCACAGCCCATGGCAGCAGGATCGCAGAATGAGGCTTGCTTCGCCGTACCGGTTGGTAGCTGTCACCTCAGTCGTTCAGCCTCTTTGGAGAGGATGTAAGTGGGCCCAAAAAGACCTGCGGAGCTCTGTTCTCGCACCGCAGCCGCTCAGGAGCGCAGCTGCTTCCTGAGCTGTTTGAAGGTGGAGGAACACAGAGGGGCGTCAGAAAGGACGGGTAGAAACTGTCCAGATCAGGGAAGGAAAATGTCACCCCCGGCGGAGACACAAAATAAAACAGCCAATTTTATTTTTATAATGTGAGCGACTGTCTTGTCCGTCCATGAGTCACCGAAAGTCTGCTCCACTCGGATTGCTAACTCCCCCGCAGTGGCCTCTGCCCTCCTCTGCGGATATGGCGGGGGTTTGGCTGGGTCTGGTTTCAGGTAAACAGGCTCCTAAACTTTTCATCGTGTGGTGGTGTGTTGCCCCGGTGATTTCCAAACTTACGCTAAAGTAAAATAATCTCGTTCTCTCTCCACTTCTGTTCAAAAGGTAGAAGAGTAACTCTCTCTCTCTCTCTCCACTCTCTCTCTTTCTCTCTCTCTCTCTCTCTCTCTCCCTCTCTCTCGATGACAAAAGGTAGAAGAGTAGATCAAGCATCGGCACAGAGAGAAGGCAGGCACACCTTGATCTGAGACTTCCCAGCCTCAGAACTATGAAAAATAAATGCCTATTAAGCCACCTTAAAAAAAAAAAGACAAAAGGTAGAAGAGTAGATCCTCTTATCACGTAAAAGGCCCCTCTAAAACATACCCCGAAGCGCAGGAAACTGTGCACCCTTTTATCTCAATTTATTATGAAGGCCTTTATGTCTCAGTTTATGATAAAACATTCTGGAGAGAGGAACTTTTTTTGCCTCTTGGGACAGGGCCCTATTTGACATTGAAACCCACTGAAAACGGCCGAGAAGCGCATGAACCAAAGCAGTTTCGTTGGTGGGATGCCTACCTTTGTCCTGCCCGATAGCGATCTGTCACCGGACCGCTGGCTGTGGGGCTTGTCTGAGCTTCTTTGTCTGTGCAGTACTTTGTGTGGGAGTTCGGGCGGCTGCTGGCCCACGGTCATGTTCACAGGCCGCCTCTTCGGCGGGGCTGCTCTGGCCTGACGGCTGTTGGCTGGGTCCCCAGGTACTTTCAGGGCAAGGACTGTTGTTAGAACCACCTGCCATCTGTCGGTGAAAATGTTTTGGATTCTAAATGATGAGTCACTCATTTCTCCTGCTGTTCCTTCTGCTGCCGGGACTAATTTGCCTCTTGGACTCCATCGGGGACATCCTGGCAGACCTTGCCATGAAGCTATGTCCTATGCAGGGTTCACATCCCTCGGGAGCCGTCTTCCCCGCGCCATCGCTAGAAACCATGGCCTTTGCGTTTCCACGAGGTGGGGAGAGGACACAGCGGCCATCCAGCCCAAGCCTCACTCGGGTCCTCTGGGGAGAAAGCGCAAGCGGCCGTGTTCGGAGTCTAGGGGTGGTTCCACGTTTTCTTGCCCATGGTTTCTTGCTAGGGTGCCAATGGCCAATCACCAAGTGTGGCACCGGGTGGGTCCTCCAGCACTGTTGGTTACCTGAATGACTAGGGTCTGGGATTACTAAGTGGGCAAGGCAGACCTACCCAGGGCCACCGAGAGACGTGCACTGGGCCCCGCTTAACCCCTTAGGCCAGAGCCCCTCATTGGCAATGCCGCACGCAGAGCCGACAAGGACTCTGAAATTCTGAGATGGTTGGCTCTCACCAACCCCGAGAGGAGAGCGTGGGATGATGCCCAGGAGAAAGTCAGAGACTCTCCATGCAGACAAGCTTCGTGCTGTGATAGAAGCAAGAGCTATGGGAGGGGTAGCATCTGGGGGGCAGGGAGGGGCTGGGGATGAGGACTTGGGGCAGAGCCAAGTGCTGTACCAAGGAGAAAACTGAAGGTCAGGTTTACAAAGCCCTCTGTCCACCAGAGTGTGGCAACCGGAGTCTTGGGCTAAAATATAAGATGCGCTTCTCCATTGACTCAGTTTCACACAAATCGGTTTTATTGTTAGAATCATCATCTTTTGTCCAAAAGTTTATTAAGCTGTTTATTAAAAGTTTATTAAAAGTTCAAATCTAGCTTTACTCATATCTCTTAAAATATGTCTATGCTTCCTGCCTTCCATATTTTTCACCACCCCAAAACTCTAAGCTAAACAGGAGCAGCAAACCCCTAAATGCGGAAGCTCTAACTGCTTTGAGCATGCCCCATTTCACTCAAGTCTTCTGAAGATTTCCTGCCTGGAGAAATTACCAAGTCCCAGGTGGGTGGTATTTTATTCTTACCATAGAGTTGGTGTGATTTCGTGGGGGGCACTTCCCCCTGCCTTCCCCGCTTCCCTCCTGCCCCCGCCTGCTAGATCAAAGGCACAGTTATGTACTGGAGTCCTGGGTGGGAGGTGAAACTCCTGTACTGCAGGTACCAGGCTCAAGCCACTGGTCGGTAATTGGGAGACCTGGCCAGTTGCACAGGCTGCCTCGGGCACTGCAGCTCCTCTGACCAAACCCTGATGGTCTTAAGAAATTTTGTCACCTACTCTAGATTGCTTGGGAGGGGTGGGGAGCAGTTAGGACAAGGCGAGCCTTCTTTGGTAGAAGTGATGATGGTGCTCATCTCAGCGGCTAAGTATCTAATGCTGGAGGTCACGTTTCCAACCACATTTCTTATCTACGCCCAAGAAGCCCTTGTTGCGGAAGCAGCAACAATGATGTGCTTCTAGAACTCCTGCCTTCTCTGTGTGCATGTCAGTTCTCAGGGCTTCAACCTCCTCTGAGGAGTGATTTGGCCATAAAGGGGACCCAGATGACACGTGGGAGTCTTGCTAAACTAGCAATACCAGAGAACTTTGGCAAACTGTCCATGTCACCACTCAGGGTTGGAAAAATAAGACTTTGTGGCTTCAACACAGCTACAGGCTAAGGCGGTCAGTGCTTCATGCCAATCAGCCAGACACTGGGACACACGGTCTCTCGGCACGGGCACAGCCTGTGACGCCGAACCCAGGTGCCCACCCCCTGCGGGGGATTCTAGGTCAGAGAACAGGGGCACCACCGGAGCCTCTGTGTTTAAAGAAGGCGAGACACTGCCCTGACTGGTTTGGCTCAGTGGATAGAGCATCGGCCTGCAGACTGAAAGGTCCCAGGTTCGATTCCAGTCAAGGGCATGTACCTTGGTTGCAAGCACATCCCCGGTGCGGGGTGTGCAGAAGGCAGCTGATCGATGTTTCTCTCTCATCGATGTTTCTTACTCTCTATCCTTTTCCCTTCCTCTCTGTAAAAAATCAATAAAAAATATATATTTTTTAAAAAAGAAGCTAAGACACTGAAACTGGGGGATAAAACAATGTATCCACACCCCGATAAGCAGAGGGGAGAGGGTGGTTAGTACAAACCTGTAGACTTGTAGGTTTATACAATTACAAAACCGAAGACTCATTACTAAGAAAATCAGATCACACTGGCTTTTCTCAGTTTTGGAAGAATTTTGCGCTCAGAGAGTAGCTACCAAAAGATGTTAACCCTGGTCAGTCTCTGTTTCAGGGTAGCTGCTGGCGAATCTGGCGATTTGCTTCCCAACTCTCGGACTGTTTAGACCAGTGGTCAGCACACCGCGGCCCCTGGAGTGTGGCTCTTCCACAAAATACCACATGCGGGCGCGCACGTACAGTGCGATCGAAACTTCGTGGCCACACTCAAGGGGCTGAAGAGCCGCATGTGGCTCGCGAGCCGCAGTGTGCCGACCACTGGTTTAGACAACTGATACGGCGGGAGATCGGTACCAGCAAAAGACCCGATCCTTCCTCTGCAGCCGCCTCACACAAACCGAAAACCCCAGGAAATTCTAGCCACCTGAGCCCCGCGAAGGGGCTGTTTCCAACACAGGGTCACCACCCGTTTCTTAACATACTTGCAAGAAATACAAATGCCAGTTGGACATTTCCTGAACCCTGATTATTTACCAGACTAGAATCCTCTCTGGCAAGTATTTAATCCTGCATCAAATACAGAAGGGCAAACCATTGGCTGAGAGAGAGAGA